AAAGAATACATGTTCATTCTGTTATACGATAGTTCCATATTCTTTTTTTCAGCCATATTGAATAATTCTGTTCTCAATTTTCTCTCCAATCAAATTACCGGTGAATTTATTCACCGGTGAATATGGTGAATAAATTCACCGATGCGAATTTTGACGGCTTCCCTTAGTCAATGAGAGAGATCTAATTTTCTACTCATCTTGTTTTCCTCTTTTTACTTTATAGATCACCATTTCATAATGCACCACACTTGGTCGACGCAACAATTAGTAAACTGATTGCTAATGGAATACTTGCTAAAGGTTATTTTTTATTGGATGCACGTTGCCGTGGACGTCAGTCATTCATGAAGCTACCAGTTCCATCGGATCCAAAACTACGTGACGATTTTGAAACAAAACTAGCAAGATATCAAGTATCTCTACGCCAGTATGAACAAATGTATAAATGATATTCAAGTCCACAGAACCACACATTATCGCTAGAAGCTATTGAATATTTAAGACACAAGCAAGATTCGTTAATGAATATCATAAATATCAAGAATTAGAAGGTGTTACAGAAACATATGTGGAGTTAGGACAAATTGTCAAGGTTACATGTGATACTGGAACGTTCTGTGAAGTTTCTCCAACAGCAACAGTATTTGCATCAGAAACGAGATTTCCGCAATCAAAACAAATCATATCGAAAACAAAAATGACATCATCAATTTTGAAGCAAACATCAGTAACAGGAATTCAACTTGATATATCACTCGTTAAACTGAATATGTTTATCCTTCCTTTTAGGTAGTACTGATGTGGCAAGTTCAGTTAACGAAATGAATCAACCAATTGAAGTAGATCCAGCGTCACGATATGTGTACGAACATATGGAGAGTAAGCCACATTCAGTGATAAACATCATTTTTAAACAATGAACATCATTCCTTTTCTTTAGAAGAAATCCAACTATCATCACAAACGTGTAAACTCATACACTGCGATAAATACTTCGTTTGTGCTAATATCTTGAATCTGTTTTCAGCTGAAAGACTGATTGCTTTTCTCACATATAATAGGTAAACTAAAATGACTGATTAAGCTCGATTATTTAGCTATACTTATTCTTGTGTATTCCAGATAACAGGTGATCAGATAATTAGATATGAAGATCGACAAGAAGGTCTACCACGTTACAGTGTCAGATGAGCACAAAACGTTGCTCACGTTCATCGAAGACATGAAATTCAGTGAAATAATTCAGAGATGTCATAATACGGATACAGAATGTAGCCACTCAATATAAACGTCTTACAGTAAGAATACGGATAATACGTGTAAACTCGATACAGAGTCTGTAGTCTATATCCGTATTCACTAATACATAGTTTTTCTTTGGGCTAGATAATTCATCATCGAGTGAATATGCAGCACATTTATCACACAAACACAATCCTTGTTCAGAGAATAGACAGAACGGAACAAATTTCATTTATGCAGAAAAATACTGCAAAAGTAAATTTTGACGTGCTGTCATTTATCATGTACAACGATTGAACCTATGTATTTATGAATTCTTGGGATTCTGCAATTCTACTCGATGCAGAGTATAGGCAGGGAGAGCGTGTTGGTGGGGCGTCAACACTAATACAGAGTGAATACGGATACAGACTACAGAGTATAATCCCAGAATCCCAAGAATTCATAAATACATAGATAAATGTCAATACGGTTACGAAGTGAGTGCCGTTTCGAGTGGTGTCTGTTGTTGCTGTAGGTGTTGTGTGTTGAGTGAATACATTCTGTATCCTTATTATGACAGCACTCAAATAATTACTACCATGGAGCTGTACTATTTTCTGCCACGAGAATTACAAGACAAACAAGTTCATATTAGAAACATGATTAGCATGCATTATACACAGCTTTTTGATCAGGACTCAATCAATCCTGTTATCGATTTCATCATCAATGATCAAACTTTCAAGAATTATTTTCCAGTGAATACTAATATCGAAACAATTATCAACAATTATCAGTCGAATACCCACTTTATTACTCATCATGTGACAAACAACCGTGTATTACCGTTCACAAGCATTTGTTTAAAATGTCAGAAACAGTTACTAATTCAATCAATCAAAATGCCCAAGACATTGATTAGCCATGATAAGATTGAGATGTGTTCAATCTATTTTGCAGAATGTATTGATTGTGCTGTTAAGATTTATCCAATGCATTAGGAATACCGAAAAAATCATTTCGTCACGCCTAATTCAATCAAGGATGATGATATTATCATCTTTTCGGGCGAAGCAGCCTATGATAATGAGATATTCGTCGATTTTGAAACACAGTTATTATATTCTCACATAACGTTCAATGGTTTTACAAATGCATTTAATGAAAAAATCGAAAAATTAATTAAAAGGAAAAGCGAACGTTTATCTCAGCAGCGACAAAAGAGATCAAATAATGATTTTACTTCAAAGTTTGTCATTTACTTTTTTATTCTGCCACTTTCTCTCCCATCCTTCTAGCAAATTCAATATCAGGATAACCTTCCAAAGAAAAATGTAATTAACATTTCGTCGCAGTATCTTTAGTTTCCAAGTGAATTCGCAAGCAATACAGTTGAAAACAAATTCAAGACGCAAGCAAATGGATGGGAAGTCATTACGAATTAATTGGCTAATTTACAATTTGATGCGATTTGTTTTCATGTTAAGAGATAGTGATAACTTCGAAATTCCAAATTCATTACGCGCAAAGTATGTCGAGGACGAATATTTCAAGTAATACAATGATCTTTTTTATACATTATTTGTTGCATTTTGGACTCGACATAAATTATTATCAAAATCAATATCATGTTGTGAAAATTGTACGCGGGTATTTATCACAGATGGTCATCGTAAAGCCAATCGTTTTGTTTGTAAACAGAAAGATGTTTGTGATATGTCCATTCCTGAAATGGGTGTTGTCGTCATTAGATGTCTTGAAACTCCAAATCGTTTTACAGGCAAGAAAGAGAATAGTATTTTGTTTCGCCGCAGTTCTTATTTCAATATGTTATTCATTTTCTATTTATTATCCTTCGTCTATGTTTTAATAGGTGCTAGAACATTATGCGAATATCATCAACCGCAAATGAGAACCACAAGTGCTCAACACTGTTCGGTGATTGTTAGATTTGATGAATGTCCACGTAGTGAAGGCATGCGAAGAGTTGTACGACATTTATTGAGAATGTTAGAATATGGCGATTTACCACCAGCAATGTTATATGATTGCGCCTGCATGCTCAAATTATTTATCGACAAGTGGTACAAGACAAACCATTTAAAGAAATCAAGTCGAACCAACTTTCTGCATACAATGCATTTAGCTATTGATCGTTTCCATCAGCCAAATCATTTGCGCCAGATGTGTCAGAAAGGAATGCCTGTTGATCATAATTCACACAAAGGAATTTATGATCAAGTCGATTCACAAGTAGCAGAGTGGATGTTTTCTTATTTCAAAAATTTCAAGCGTGCTTTTCGAGTGTACAGTTATCCAAAATCATTTACATTTTTCTTAATATTATTTCATTTGGAAAACTGCAGTATAACAAAAATACAAGCAGATCAACAATTAATCGGATTACAAGTCATACCGACAGATGTAGTAACAAATATAAATCAAGCATTTAAGCATGCTTTCTTTTCAAGTCCACTTACAGGTGAATGGTCGACAAAAACAGGCACAACTCATGCCATTTCAACAACAACATTATCAACAGTGAGCGATAAGGAAGAAAAATCTACAACGCCAAGTAAGAACATTATTACTCTCTAAAAAAAAATGGTTCGCTACAATACCTTAAAGGTTTCGTGGGTCATTTCTGAACTTTTAATGGTTTCGCATTATTATACTGAATCTGTTGGAGTTTTGTAGATCGAAAGGTTTTGTGCTCAATATACGAAACTAGGCAAGGTTTCGTGTTTAAGTTGGAAAATGCAAAAAGGTTCACCCGTATATATATGAATACAAAAGCTGTTTGTATACGTACAAAACCTATTTAGACTTTGTGCAACAACATCTGTTTTATTTATATTGTTAGCGAAAATAAAACCCATATGAATATATATGTTTTTTTTGTCTGAAAGTAGTAAAAAATAAGACAGATCTATTCTCAAAAATTCTTTGAACTTAACGTATTTTGACGACGCATGATTCAGTCGGCATATATTGTTGAAAAATGAAAAGTTTTATTTTCTCTATTTTATTTCGTTCTACACAATTGTATTTCTTTTTATCTGTTATTTTGAATCAACTATCGTCGGTCACATTTGACTGATGATGTCTTTTGAATAAAGACGAAACATCTAACAAAAAATAGTCTATTTTCATGCTTATAAAGGTGGTTTATCTCTTATTATCTGCATTCTTTTTTTGTCAGAAAAGAGAATGAAATGCTGCAGAGTAGAAAAGTATTTTAAAGTGAAGCCTTTTTTCTTCACTCATTGAAAACGAAATGATATAAACGCATTTCTTGCTGCAATCATTCTCACTTATTCACTCACAAAGCGATTTTGTCTGATCTGTCCTTTCAGATAAGTTTACTATGAAACATCTCAGAGAGTACAGTTGGGAACAGGTGGTTGAATGGTTGGCATACTTTAATACAGATTCATCAGTAATGAAATATTTTGAAGGTAATTAAAATATGTTTTTAAATCAATTTTTTGTACTCTCTGTTCGTCATCCACTCAACCACATCACACATTTCGTCGTTTTTTTCAACACATCCAATATGCGCATGTGGGAGAACCAAATTTTAAATTAAGATGTGAAGTAAGTGCTACTTGTGGGACCTGTTACACTACATTTAGTGGTTATAAAACTCATCTTTATCGCAGTCATCGCGAACTCTTCGAAGCAACTCTTCAGAACTCTTCGCGAACTCTTCAGAAGAAGCTACAGAAATACACATTGTTAATGCTAAGCAAACGACGCCATTAGACGATGTACTCGACTGTTATGATAAAAATGGAACGAATAATGATGACAATGAACAAGAACAGCAAGTACCAGATCAACCCCAAGTACAACAAACAAACAGAAATGAAGTATTTTGGCCACTATTCACTGACACAATCAATCCAGAAGCACATGAATGTTTGACAATAGACGGATTCAAGAAACATTACACGAGGTTTCTGTTAGAGTTGAGAGAAGGACATCTTTTGCCTCAAAATATTATCCGATCCATCACATCACAAATTGTTATTTTAATTGAAATTATTCATAGGATAATTCAAAAGAAAACGAAATCACACCAGCTACTGACAGCTTCTGTAACAACTGCAAATAACAGTTATATATTATCAAGCGATCTAAATGAAACTATTTCACGTATTACTGCTATAATATCTTTAACATCAAAAAATGAACATCAGTTCTTAAAATTGTGTACAGAATACTTTGGGTTTCAAGTACCAGTTCAGATTAAATTGAATAAACAAAACAAGTATGGATATTACATACCCATTCAGAAAATAATTACAGAAATGCTATCGAAAGCCGATGTTGTTGAATCATTGATCAATAATTTAAATGCAACAGCAAAGTGTTCTACAGCAGATCCAGATTTGATGTTTTCATATCGGGATGGTTATTTGTGGCCAAAAATAACCCATCTTTACAACGACACAGTAATTCCCTCATGTTCCAGCTATACACTGATGGCATAGGTGTTACGAATCCGATAGGACCAAAGAAGGATTCGCATAAGCTAACGGTTTTTTACTTTCTTCTCGAAGATTTGCCAGAGGATGTTCGTTCGATGCTGAAATCAATTATTCTTATTGGCATATGTTACACAGACTATTTAGACAAACAAAGCGCAAATAAATTTTTTGAACCAATTGTGAATGATTTAAATGAATTACAGACGACCGGTATTCGAATTGAGTCATTCAGTGGTATCCTACATTTTGCATTTACAACATTATCGGCTGACAACCTTGCTTCGAACGAAATAGGTAAGATCAAAAATGCGAGTAATTGAGGGTTGTTGACATGTCTATTCTTTGTTTTTTGTAGGTGGATTCCAGAAAAATTTTAATGCTGGTAATTTTTGTCGAATGTGCCATATTTCGTACGAACATCGATTATATCCATTGAATACGATATCATTTTTACCAAGAACAAGGTTAACACACGATAATTATGTCAAGAAAGTATTAGAAGCCAATAATGGGAGTGTTATTCAGGGCGTTCGCAGTAGAAGTATACTTTCAAAATTAATTGGTTATCATCCTATAGTGTCATTACCTAACGATATAATGCATGATTATTCAGAAGGTATGTTAGCAGTATTTTTAACCGATAGTTTCCTCCTAAGCATACATTGAAATTCTGCATCGAATGGTATATAGAACAACTTTCAGATGTTGTGAAATAACGTAAAAATTAGCCAAACACTAAAAATGTGCTCTACTTTTCCCCCACATTTTACTACAGTGTTTAGTATTTTGACTATAACATGTCATTACTCAATGAAAATCAAAACGTTTTTTTACCAAAATGATCAGCGAAGAAAGCTCTACAAAAATAGATATAAGAGAAAATTTTTAGAATATCCTTGCTATTCGTTTATGTGTAAAAATAAAAAAGTCCAGGCTTTTTTCCGCCCTCAATGTAAGTTCAAGTAAGGTGTACGTACTGGATTTTCTCTACTGGATTCAACAGACATTTCAATGTCTGTCTAAATAGCTAATTGTACGCTCATACCTTTGTTTTTTCAAAGTTATTTACTCATTTTCGCTTTTTAATTCAATTTAGGTGTATGTCCAATTATAATCATGGCTGTATTCAAAGAAGCATCAGAGAGACGTTTATTAACTTACGGTCAAATTGAAGAACGATTATCAATATTTCAATATGGTGACAGCGATTCGTCCAATAGACCTCCAGTAGTTAGAAAAAAGCACTTGGCCAAGGGAAAAATATCTGACAGTGCTTCTCAGAAACTGTGCCTATTTAAATTGTTACCAATTATATTTGACGTTATTGAACAATTAACCACGTTAGAATTGTATACGTGTTTACGTGAAATCGTCGAATATGTTTTTGCACGACCGTTCAGAAAAACGTGGCTACCAAGATTACAACAGTTAACAGTGCGTTTTCATTCTTTAATGGTGCACCATACACCGGAACGTGTAGTTCCAAAAGTACATTTTGTGACAGATTATTCACCACTGATACTGATGAATGGACCGGCCACTCGTTATTGGTGCATGCGATACGAGGCGAAGCGCCTATATTTTAAACAACTCGCTTTAAGGTCATTCAATTTCAAAAATATACCATTTACATTAGCAAAAAGGCATCAGCTACGTCAATGTCTTCTATTTTCATTAGATAAGTATTACAATGTAATAGATGAAATTTATTGTTCGAAAATAGTAGAACCAAATCAGTTGACACGCTTCGTTAAAAATTTATTGTTTGCAAATATTCAAGGTTTTAATGAAACAACAACATTAATGGAATACGAAACACTGATATATAAACATGTGAGATTTTCTAAAGGATCTGTTTTTGTCTCAAAATTTGAACATACTGAAGAAATACCGTATTTTGTTTTACCATCAAATATTTTCAAAATTGAAAACCGTTACATAATAATCGTCAAAGAACTTCAAACAGTACAGTTCGAAGAATCTTTATGGTGTTATGAAATTGAACGTTTACAAATACACAAAATGATGGTTCCTGATGATTTAATAAAAATACATCCAAACGGACTTGATATTTACGATGTTAACAATCTGTCTTATGTTAATATTTTATCTCGTTTAACAAAATACTAAATAATAAATATCAACAATCCTAACGCTGAGTCTTCATCCTGGTATTTTTTGGTAATCAACCTCTCTAGCGGTTTCGTCTCTGAAAGAGGCTGTTGTAAGGGGATTTAGTTTTATAATGAGTGAGTGAGGTGTTGCTGACTTATATCCTCGTTCTATACTGACAAAATTTTTATTTTATAGAACAAGATGTGGATGGGGAAACATTACGGTTATTACAGCAAACTGAAATAGAGAAAATCTTTCCAAAATTAAAACAACGTGTTAAATTTGTTTCTGAACGTGACTTATTATTTAGTGAAACAAAACAATCGCACATTAATCTTTTAGTTCCTGTCCTCAATGAATCTAATGAAACTGCACTTAGCAAACCACTAAAGAAAGATGAAATGAAGCAGACATCAGGTTTGATAGTAATTGAACATAATCTTCATGATGATATATTAAGTTATGATGTTTACGATGAAACAATAGAGACAGCACAGCATATTCAACATACTACTAATACAGACCAAGAAAATATAGAATCTGAAAATATTGCACCAAAACCGAGACTGTTACCAGATTACACGTTACCGTTGTTCACGTCTAAAGTACAACAAGCTATTGCTTATAAACAATATGAAAACTTTGCTGGGCACACAAATCACAGACGGTTATTGCTTGATTCTGTGTATGAAGGTGCAGTATCAAAATATTGTCTCTAGTATGTATTACTTCACTCAGAAGTTCGGTTTTTTAATGTTCTCTACCTTTTTCAGTTACTCGTCGGGAAATGATTATACCATTATGACGCAAGCTATACTGCGTACGCTGAATACTCCATTGACAGATATGTTCGCTATGGTATGTACGGAGCTATAATTTGGTTTGAATTAGACGAAAGGGCTCTATCTGACAGGCACGAAAGTCATTCTACCATTGGACTTCCATATTACACTATCAGTTTGTGATTTAGAATGATTGGCGTGAGAGCTTAAAAAATAAATTCAAACGAGAACGACGCCCTCTGCAAAAAACCAACTCACAAGTCCAAGCAAAAAAAGAAAAATTCGGTAGATCTACTGGCCGACCTGTTCGTAAAAGTTTGAATGAAACATCCGAACGACGGACAAAAAATGTGGTAAGAGAATAACACCAGAGGTGTTGGTAAAACTAGCAGCCATGGTAGAACCAAGAGTTTGAACCCTAGTTCAAATGAGAACTTTCTTGTCTTCCGTTTTAGTTATATATCAGCGAAATGAATGATTGCAATAATGATGAAGATGGAATGGAGAAAGTAATACAAACAATAAAAGATGAATTAAAAGAAAAAGATTGGGATTCAGAATTAGTTATACGTTTATGGAGAAAATCATTTCAACACAGGCGATTGTATGTTCGAGATCATCCGATTGCAGAAGTGTTGGAAAAATATCCAGGTTTTGGAATACCGGATTTAGTAAGTATAGAGACTTGGTACTAGACAGTATAGTACAGTAGTAGTGCTGTATCTCTTGTATTTTTGCTCAGTATTGAACGTATTTTGCTATGAGTCGGACTATATAATCTGACAGGTGATTTATCTTATTTTGAAGATATATCATCACTTGTTAGCTGTTATACATTACTTTTCTGATCTGTTTAGATTTTTGAAGAAGTGAAAATGACGGATGGGATTGATCTTGCAGCTAATGCCTTACGGTTTTTGCCAAATTTTCTTAAGAAAGTACCAAATGAAGGTTTTGTGAATGGTGAGCTATTCTCTGGAGAGCCATAAAATTACTTCATTTATTCTTAATTGTTTTAGATCTGTGGACAGTTCGTTTAGTTAAATTATTATCAAAATATTACAAGGAAACGTGGCAACATATATTATCTGAAAAAGTATTTAATCTACGCTTTTCTGCCTAATCGACCAGGAGTTAACAATGCTGCAAAAGGTTTACTTTCTGCATCTTACAGTCATTCTTTTAAGTTATGATCTAAGTCTGGTACAAAATATTTAACTAAACTGCTTACTAAAAGATTGAATAAAATAATAGAATAACATTAGGGCGAGAACAACAAGGAATCTTTAGCAGCTAGGTATCTTTTCCCAATATTTTTATATAAACAAATGTGATTTACTAAATGAGGTTGTTTTCTTTCCACTTTTAGGAGCCAATATCACCCAAACCATTTATCCGCTTAACTGAAGAGTCATTTAACCTATATTTGGATTGGCGATTGATATGTACAACAGGATCTCATGAAGAAGCCTTAGCACTGATATTTGCTATTTATAATATATTCGAAATTCAAATTACCGGTGTTCATAATCGTGTGATTCACTTAATGTATGGAATACTGTTTCAAGACCAAGGTATATTAACAAAACATTTACGGTCACAATTAAAAATTTGGAACTATATGATAGAACCAAAGAAAACTAAAGATGATGGTCATCCAACAGGAATAAACAAAAGAAAAAGAACGTTATCAAGCGGGTTCGAAGATGAAGAAGCGGAAATACAACAAACAATAACAGGAGTTGAAACACCGTCGCAACTTCAGTCATCACAAAATGCGCTAACATCGGAAGAAGAAACGAACAGTGACAGCGATCATAAAGATTTGAATGAAGCGGTAGGAAACTTTCTTCCATCTAAATCAATCACAAAAAAAAGAAAGAGACAAAACCAACAGCTAGCAGTTCCAAGTCAACTACTGGCACTTCGGCCTAGGATACAGACTAAGCAACAAAAGAATTGATAGGAGGTTGTTCTGTGAGCTATTCTCTCAACTTTTGTGACCTTTTTATGGTGATTTCAAGCTCAATTATGTTTTTTTGACTTTTTCGATGATTTTTACTATTTTTTTACTATCAGTGTTTTTACGTTATTTTTGTGACCTTTTATTAAAATTTTTATGTTACTCCACTGTCAGATACTGGAATTCTAATGCATGTGTGCTTTTTCTCCGATACATTGTAGTTTTTTTTTGCTTTATGAGATAGTTCGCTTTAATAAATAAAAGATAGACAAAGCGGCACTGTAAAAAAAGTCAGAAATAGTACCGCACGAAACCTTTCATTTCAAGCAAGTCGATGCGAAACCCGTTCCATGAAATTTTTTCTTTAAAAAACCCAGAATTTTTCTACGAAACCCTCTTTCTACCGAACCTTTAGAGGTTTCGAATTCGTTTCAAAAGTATAAACCTTTAAAGGTTCTGGGAGAAACCATTTTTTTTAGAGAGTAGTCGAGCTCTTAACAGTGTTGCTTTATTTCAGAGAGAGCAAGTACTCAATTAACAAAACATGGTTTACAACGAAGTACGTATAAAAGTATGAAACTTCCTAAGCACTTAATAAAAATAAATCGTTTCTCTTTAGCTCGAAGATAGCAATAGGTCAGTTGTCACGGGCGATATACAATCAATTCTGCACAAGCCTAGCATTCATTCCTAAAGTACCAAAAATAAAACAGAAATAATTCTTATCAAAGTTTCAGACCCAACTGCACAATCACATTACAAAAATAAGTAAACACAATCTCAACACCGTTATAAACCTGTTTTTTTATAAATATTCTACATGTTGTGCTTTTTAAAGTTCTTTTTACTGTTGGCTAAACGTTTTTACATAAAATACAAAGGTTGTCGAACGAATTTAAAAATACTCTCTTCAAAAATGCAGCTTTACACGCACCAGCGATCCTAACTTTACCGAAGATTTAGCATATACTGAACATATGACTACATGAATTTCTGAATTGCTGACTTCATATAGAGTGGCGGAACAAATTTTTCATACACCCACTCCTCTTTTTCTGTTGATCATAACTCGGTAACCAAAAAAAGCTTTTGACAAGCGGTTTGCTCCAAAATACTCTCCGCTCTCTCTAGTATATTTGTAGAGAAAAAAAGGTAGAAATATTCAGTGTTGCTCTTTGAAGGCCCATTAGACTGCAAAGTGAACGTTTTCCGGTCAGCACAACTTTTCCATACAGTTGATAAAAATCTTCTTCTACGCTGTATAAGCACTGACAAAATATGAAAACCATACTGCCATACTCTTCAAGTGACTGCTGAATCTCAGGAATGAGTGTGTGAAGAAAAACTTCTCATTAAGCCATTCAAACAGCGTCCAAAACTGACTAAGATAAATATAGCGTGGAAGTTAAGTGTCCCATGTGACACAAGAATGTGCCCCATCTTTTAATGTTTTGGACCCTACGGCTATTTCTGAAATATTTTTTCTGCACGGGAGGGTAAACAACTTTTGCATTTCTTTGCGTCGTCATGTAGTCAAGTAGTTACTGTATAGAGGTATGAAAAGAGAAATTTGGACATTTTAATTTCAGAGGGAAAACCGGATTTCTGAACATTAAAACCGACTTTCCACCCATAAAAAAATTTTTCATCAAAACCTGACGTCATATTCGTCCTAAGCGTCAAAAACTGCGTTTGTTGATGTGTCACTCGCAGTTCAGCAAAATTTTATTTACTCCTAAAAATAACTTGAAATATACGCACACATATATATATATGAGCACATGAATTTCTGAGTTCCTGAGTTCCTAACTTTAAATATATGTATGTACACATACTTCAAAATGTAGTTATCGTTCTAGACTCTCAACATTGGTACAATTGTCCGTGACACCCACTTTTGTACTGAGAAAAATAAAATAATAATTCGAACATTGTTTTTTAATTATTTTCCTCTTCTTTCGACAGATTGATGCGCACTTTGATCTGTATCTATCCATTAAATTAAACTCAACTTTATTTTATCTCTCTTCATTCTTTTTCAGCAGCAGAAAGAAGAGAAGAACAACACCATTGCTGTGTCATTCGAACATACTTGTACTACTTGAAACCGACAGCTGTTCAAGTATTTGAATTTGAATTTAATTACCGAACAAGAAGTAGAAAATATGCGGCGTAATACTTACTTTAGAATTTGTATTTTTTACCTTTGTCTCTTCTAGTACAAGCGCACACTGGCGAATTTTAAACAAACACAATGCAGAAGTCTGTTCCTGCTCTAATATTGCAGTTGACAATACTCTTCTTCTACAAAATAAGTGTTGGAATAAATGGTGCAACAGTAGATCAAAATGCCACACAAGCAAGTCTTGTAACAGACACATATTTACAACGTGATGCCTATTTTACTGCTGAAGATTATCTAATTTATTTTGATCCTGCAGCAACAGATAAACCTGGTCAACATATTAATCAGCAACATGGTAGCGTAACATTATTTCAAGTGCCATTTGTTCCCGGCCTCCTAGGTATAGAACTCGGTGCCATAAGACTTCAACTGAAAAAATGTGCAATTAGACAACCACTTACCTTTCGTAGTGATGTAATCACCTATGTCTTAGAAGGTCATGTACGACTTGGTAAGTAAGAGTGGCTGTGTGAATATTAGAGTGAGAGATCTAACAAGTTTTTTCTTTATTTTCTTTTGAAAAGGTTTCGTC